AAAGGAAATACAATTAACTGAAGATGTCTCTATGCCTGTCTTTAACACTAGAACAAGGTTCCATCATCTCTAGCTTGGCAGCAATACGAGCCACACAACCATCCACGATGTTGTTTAGATAGACCATTGGTGTATTTCCTATTAACTGAACAAGGTAGCCATGGGGAGGTTAATACCCAAAAATTCACTATGAGGCAGCATTAGACCCAGACACATAATGAAGAAAACTTACTTCTGTGACATCTTTCTTGATTGCACATTTGTCCTCCATATCAAGTATTTAGAAACCTGCAAGTTGATGAATGAGGGGAAAGGATGAGAATTATCTTTCCAAAGCAAAAACTGCATCTTGAACAAGCAGAAAGAAACAAGTTGAGGTGCCAATCAATGATTTCTCACCAATTAAAGAGAAATAAACGAAAAAAAAAACTCATTCCATCAGGAATTGACAGTCCCACATGAACTCAAAAGCTGAAGAAACTCAACTACCTAACAGTGTATAAGAGAGCCCTAAATAAGCAATCACTCCAATAAAAAAGGGTACATAAAAAATTCACAAATTAGCCAAACTTAATTATGAGCAAATACCAAATTTCTGAATAATTTACAAGACCATGAACGTAGCAAGTGAAAAAGGGTACCTAAAAAATTCACAAATTAGCCAAAGCTAGTTATAAGCAAATACCCAAATTTTGAAATAGTTAACAAGACCATAAAAAAAAATAATAATAAATAACGAATTTCAAGCAAATTACTCAAAGCTAATTAATAAGGAAATATGATATTGTTGGAATAGGCCCAGCCCAACACCCAAACAGTATTGGGTTATGCATAATGGGCCTAGGTTACCACCTGTTAGCTTAAGCTGAGGGAGCATCAGTATAAGCATACTCACATGACCAATGCCAAGTGGATCAATGGGAGGTTAACACGTGTAGATGTATGTCAGCATCAAAGGGCTATAAATACCTCCCAACTACCTCAATGAAGGGAAGAAAATCTATACGCTTCTCTCTCCGCAATTACTCCTTGAGAGCCTCTCTCTCTAAAATATTAGATATTACTGACTTGAGCATTGGAGTGTTTTCCCCGAGAAAATAACCTCGGGATTTTCAGGTGTAGAAGCAGCCGAGGACTTCAACAGTGTTGAACTGCGAAGCTGCCGAAACAAATATGAACAGAGCAACAGTGGTAACCCTTTTACAAATAATTTTATTCAAGCATGCGGTATCTCTGTATCTGAGAGTGGAGACCTTCCAAGACCATGAACAGAGTAGAAAACTAAGCTGTGGGGAAAACCATAAGGTCAAACTATAGAAATTTAGAAAAAAAATATGAAACGGTCAACACGGACTATG